ACACTGGTAATGTATATCGAAATATCGGAAATGTGTTTAAAAATCATATCACCGTTATTGAAAAAAATTATATCGCGATACATATTGATATTGAATTATTGTCCAGCCCTAGCTGAATGATTCATTGCATTTGCGATAATATCGCGATATGAAAAAACGCAATGTTTCAATCGCAGAGGCTGCGATTGCACTCGGTCACATGACACACGAGAGTAAAGAGGTGTGTTTGACTTGAAGATCGATCGGTGTATGACATCAAAGTACGGCGAGAGAAAGCATAAGGAGATGTCCGCTCTCTCTTATAGCTCTCGCAGTACTTTGATGACACACACCGATCGGTCTAAGCAGCGCTGCTTCAAGTCGAACACATCTAAGCAGTCTTCAGAGGAAGCATCAAGTTGGCACGCTACAGTGTTGCCAAGTCCACGATTTGGGGAACCCCTCCAAAAAACCCCAGGAACATGATTTTTACCGGTGGAACCCCCCTCGAAACGTGATTGGGCTAGTTATGAGTAGCAATTGGGCAGGTTTTGTTGTGAAAACCTGGCAACCCTGGCACGCTAACGTTACACGCGGAAATATTTGAAAGCATATATAATGAACGTACTTCAAACGTACTCCATCAGCAGAAAAAGAAAAGAAATAAAACAGTAAACAGCCAAAGGACGTAACTTAGAATGGGAGATGGATCGGTTTGTGAAAGCAAAGAGAACAGCCATAGGTGAAGTTGCACAGACCCAGGCAGGTGCTGGTCATTTAAAAGCTAAATGCAGAAAATATGACGAGGCATATCTTGCTCTCGGCTTCACTCACAGTGTCTATACCGGACGCTACAGTTGTGCGTCGCGCCGCAACAACTCTACTGTACACTGGATGCGACAAAGCGACCTTTTCAAATCATTTGAACTTGGTGTCAGTACGTCATAAACAAGAACAAGGGCAAGGCATTAGTTTAATGTTGGGATTTGTCGTGTCGCGCCGCATCCAGTGTAGACAGAGTCACTGATTATAATGGGTTGGGTTCTACTACTGTATTTTGCTGCTCGCGTCCGGTGTAGACACGGTTTTTAATGTCGTTGGTGTAGCGTCTGGACCACTCAAACACACAATATATATTTTGTTAGCTAGATTTAACAAATACTCTGTAACACCCCAGGAAGCTGAACAGGCCCCCGGTTCCATAGCAATGCTGACACCCGATACATTTACGACCTCCTGGAATTTAGGTGAAGAAAATCGCTTCCTTGCCCATAAGGAAAATCCACAAGGGAAGGACTTTTCTTTGCTGATTAATTAATAGGAAAACCTTTCTTTGAATGAACACACATGATCCTTCAGGTCATTGGGTATATTATTGTCATTGTGTATTTTGTCTTTGAAATTGTATACTGTGATGCAGGTTTATAATCGAAACACACTCCTGTCATCCTTTCACTATATGTAATCCTACCTTGCTTAGTATCTATGAATTCGCCTTCTTATGATCGAAACAAGCGTGTATATTATATATTGGTACATAGGCAATATATATTAGGGTCCTGAGAATCTTTAGTAATTTCGATTCAAGTCCATTTGCAAATTACCATTTCATTATGCTCCTATTTATTATTAGCAAATCTTGATTGAAATCTTCTATCAACTTGTTTTCTTTCAATTAGTGTTGTATTTCTTTTAGGAAACGATTGATTGTAAGCCTCATTGAGTTTATGCACCTTGAGTAAACGTTGCCAAAATTATCCACAAATAATGCTTTTTTTTCCCCACTCCAAAACTGTGGTGCATAAGCTCAGATAAATGAGGCCTACAATCAATCAGTTCCTAAAAGAAATACAAAACCTGTGCTAACTGAAAGAAGACAAATTGACAAAAAGATTGAATCCAAGATTTGCTGATAATAAATATAGCATAATAACAGATTTACAAGCCGTTTCAAAGATACCAAATTAGGTAAAAAAAAATAATAATTCAATGACCGATTACTGATATAATGTTAATAGATCAAAGTACTACTAAGATATCTTGTACCTTTATGATACTGACAAACACCATAAAAACACCGGTGGGAAAGGTGAAGTGTTACAGGTAATTCTGGCAATTTTTCTTACAGACCCCAATTTCAACCCTCTTGCTTTAAACTCTTTGATTCGGTACTCATATGTAAAATTAAAAAACAAAACATTAAATCACCTTTGGCTTAGATCCCTTCATAAAGCCCTAGTCATAATCTAGTCAAATGGATCAGAATGTGTGTCACTAGAGTGCACCATAATCTGTCATGATACTGGAGGACTGACACGAATCGGAAGATTAGCTATGCCACATTATATCATCTCCAACTCAATATTAACCACAGCAAATCCTATCAACATTTACTAGACTTTTAGAAAAACAGCTGCAGCTAAATGAGGAGAGGCTAATCAACCCATGCTGCCAGCTAACATCAAAATAACCATGGCAGCTATAGTCCGGTTGTTGTGAGTGAGACTACTATATTTAGTCATTAGTAAAGATATATAACAAGTAATTATGTATCGATCTATCTTTAAAAAAAAAATACTTATGAATTAAGTTAAATACTTAGCTACAGCTAATGCGACCTAGCCGAACTGTTAGCCACTTAAGCGGGGTGAGTTCTCACCAGCGTGTTTAAATTATTTGACATTTTTTATAAGTTTATTTCTACTAGACAACACGATTATCAGACTGACAACGCGTACAGTAGTTAGTTTAGATGGTACAAGTTAAGCTAACTCACCTGGCCGCAGTGGTCAAAGCCAAAGTAGCTCTCGGCTAGCTACTTCAGATCAGTAATATCCCAAAATAACCGTAATACTCTCAGAATTCCAGGTCGGTATCTGCTCAAAACGATTTAATAGTGATCGGAAAAACAAAATGCCGAGGATTAGTCCATCATTAAGTTAGTGTCTCATCTGTACGCTTGCTGAGTAACACTCAACAAGCCCTAGCATGGCTGTGATGGGTCGGGCCGGTGTATGAGCGGTTGATAGGCAACCCACGAACTGTTTCTCAGCTGGGGCGTCGTCCAAGCTCGGCAGTCTTCGGATTCTTTCGGTCGCATTCGGCTCCGCTTTCGAAGTCTGTTGCGCACGTTCGGTTGGTGTTCGGTTTACTTCGGATTTTGTCGGAATTGTTCGGCCACATTCGTTTTTTTTTAAACGACTTTGCCACCTGGTGGTGGTTGATACGCGCAGCTATAACCAACTAAAATAATCTATTGTTCAAAGTTATAAACACAGGAGGAAACGTCTTTTTCCAAAACTAATTTGTAAAGTACTTTATTGGGATGATTTAATTTACTCACAATATAAGTATCGTAGACAAAATAAGTGCAACATATTATAACAATATGAATCATTTAAAATTCCAAGTATTTTTTTTAAATAAGAAAATATTTATAAATATTCAAATATTTTTAAAAAGCGAATAAAGTTATAATACGTTCCACAACCAGTGTTGCCAACTTAGCAATTTTGTTGCTAAGTTTAGCAACTTTTCAGACTACCCTAGCAACTTTTTCTTCCAAAAGCACCTAGCAACAAATGTAGCTTTTTTTATTTTTTTATTTGGCAGCTTTTAGCAACTTTTGATAAGTGACTCAAACGATAAAAAGGCACAATTTATGAGCGGTTGATAGGCAACCCACGAACTGTTTCTCAGCTGGGGCGTCGTCCAAGCTCGGCAGTCTTCGGATTCTTTCGGTCGCATTCGGCTCCGCTTTCGAAGTCTGTTGCGCACGTTCGGTTGGTGTTCGGTTTACTTCGGATTTTGTCGGAATTGTTCGGCCACATTCGTTTTTTTTTAAACGACTTTGCCACCTGGTGGTGGTTGATACGCGCAGCTATAACCAACTAAAATAATCTATTGTTCAAAGTTATAAACACAGGAGGAAACGTCTTTTTCCAAAACTAATTTGTAAAGTACATTTTTGGGATGATTTCATTTACTCACAATATAAGTATCGTAGACAAAATAAGTGCAACATATTATAACAATATGAATCATTTAAAATTCCAAGTATTTTTTTAAAATAAGAAAATATTTATAAATATTCAAATATTTTTAAAAAGCGAATAAAGTTATAATACGTTCCACAACCAGTGTTGCTAAGTTTAGCAACTTTTCAGACTACCCTAGCAACTTTTTCTTCCAAAAGCACCTAGCAACAAATTTAGCAATTTTAAAAAATTGATTTGGCAATCTTTAGCAACTTTTGATAAGTGACTCAGACAATAAAAACGCACACATTTTCCATCCAAATTACACAAAAAGAGGAAACCACTGATGCCTAGCAGTACACACATCACGAGAATCGAGTTAGCTGCTATTTGCAATTGTTCAATTTAATAATAATAATTGAATAATTTGATAATTGAATAATTGTTCATTTATGATACACTTTGTTAGCTTGTACCTGCGATTGTTGATCAGTTAGTACACTGTAAGAAAAATGGAAAATCTTTCAGGACATTATCCATTATCCTTTGTAACCTGAAAACACAATGCGTAATTTAAAATACAGGTAAAAAAAAACATTACAGAAAATTCTTTCATATTAACAGTAGATTGTGCCTTATTTTTTACAGACTTTTCTTAGAGTGTAGCATACTAGCTAACTACTAATACACTGCTTAAAGCATATTAGTTGAGAATGTGTAGCGTTTACTAGCTACTAAAAAAACTTGCGCACGTTTTCAATAACTCAATGTATTTAAAAATACAGTTATTTATATTTTAATAGTATATCATGCATATTATTTTACAAACAAGTCTAAATGAACATATCTAAAATATATATTTAGCTGAGGTTTGATGACGTGACAATTTTGCGTCGTGATTACGCAATGACGTCATCGCGCAATGACATCACAACGTCATTTAGCAACTTTGAGCAACACATCGATTGTCATAAAGCCTTGAAACGTTATCCTTTTTAAGGACCTTTGCACTTGTTTTTGTTGTTAGAGATATGGGTTTGTTCTCAATACCCCTCTGTATATAGTTCATATTTTTTGTTGTTGATTTATTTCGTTTTTTTTCTCTTTTTTCTTCTTCCTTAATTTGCATTATTTTTTTTATACAATCATTGTTTCTTTGAATTTATTGACATTTTTGCTTTTATTGTCAATTTGTGTGTGAATTGTCACTAAATAAAGCATTTAAAAAAATGGAGTATTTAGCAACTTTCTCTGAAAATGAGTTGGCAACACTGTCCACAACAGCGCATGCACCGCCCTCTCGTGGCTATGAAAACATCTCCAATCCTTCGAACCTGTTCTTATTTTGTAGAGCTGTCCTGTCTCGCCGTTTTCGGTCCTTTAGGGATATTTAGTTTTCATTTATGTAATTTTAGTTGAACTTATAACATGCACAAATGTGAATCACACTTCACGTCAGCCTGCGTGTTGCCTGATGTTTTGAGTGCGCCATCACTGGCTGCACATAAACACACTGCCAGCGTTGTCTTTTAACACTACAGAGACAGTTTTGCATGGCATATACTATAGACGTCGGCTAGACGGATACCTCGGGAAATGTACTCCATAGTGGAGCTCAGAGGTGTAAAGTGTGGATATCGCTGTGGCTACTGTGGAAACGCAGGAGGTAAAGCTTCATACGGTAAGTGAAGCTGCATGGGATAACAAACAAGTAAATTACAAAACACGATAACATTTCGTGTACACTCCATTTTTATGAATATGAACAAGGCAAGTTACAGTATTTTGGAAGCGTTCAAAACGATAGTTTTGAATCATAAATGTTTTATTGCGTTTTTTTTTTTTTTTACCACAACAGGAAATGTAGAGTAAATCAGTGCTTCCTGGGCCAGGTCATGTAAAACTGCGTTTAAAATCGAATCATACACGGCGAAATCTTTTGTTCGTTCATATTAATTGTGTTCTGCTTGCTTCCTTGTCTTTTTGGGACGTCCAATCACGTCACCTCATTAATATTAATAATGTATTTCGTTTTTCAAGCGCCCACCTACTGACGGCGGGGTTTCAGCATGTCGGACCAATCAGAGACGCGCACTGTGCGAACGTCATGCAGCGTAATTAATATTCATGACACAGGCCTAGGGTTCGTTTATAACAAGTTTCTGGGCGCTGCTGAGGGAGCGTGGAAATGGCAGCGGGGGGATCGTACAGTATAGTGGAGTATTTCGGGGGAGATGACGGCTATCGCTGCGGTTACTGTAAACATGAAAACGGCAATTTCTCACACGGTGAGTGGATGTTAATCTGTTACCGGTGGCTGGTGGTAAATCCTCAGTGAGTTGATAGAACATTTATAGTGAGGTAGATATGTGGGGGCGTGTTAGAACGAGCCGTTTTAGGGGGGCGTGGCAGAGTCTTAACTTTGATAAAGAATATCTCTTTGGTTTTGAGACTTTAGTCTTTGCAACTTCAGGGATCTTATCTATGCACAATCAGCTTGTAACACTCCAAAGAGAAAGGAAAACTTGAAATCGCATCATATGACCCCTTTAAATAAGTTTATGAAATGATGAATTTGCAATCTTCTAGATACCACAGATCCCCAGTGATTATCCTTGTGCGAGGGAACACCCATGCATAAAGACCCAAGTTATACTATGAAAAATTAATATTATAATCACGTCTAAAATAAGTTACATTATGATGTTTTTGCTTATTATAGGATTGTTATAGTATTGTATTTAATTTAATTATTTAAGTGTTTGATAGTTTTGGATAACATATTTGATTATATTTAATCTGTTTTAAATCTTTTCTTATTTTATTTAGTAAATCATTTATTTAGACATTTTTCATGTTTTCTCATGGACCCCCTAGCGTGATGCTGATGTTGACGGCTCACTGTAGAACTGGTGCTGTAAGCAGATGAGCAAGGATTGCCAGGCTGCATTGTTGTAATAGTGGGAAAGTTAGGTATAAATAGGGGGCGAGCTTGTCTTTGAATGAACGTGCTGGAGATAATCTGATCCTGGTAATCTGCTCCATGCCACATAATGTGGAAAACCAGAAGAAGGATGCTAATCCTGACGTGGCTGGAAGCTATCATGATGGGACCGTTCAGAGATGTTTGATTACTTTTGTTTGGCAGGTGTCTTAAGCAACTTGCTTTGTCTATTTGAGTGACCTGCATAATGGTGATGGTCTCAGTAACTTCACATCTTTGGGGGCTCGGGCTCTGTCTTTAACTGATAGGCCACCACGACCCTTTTCAGTCCTGCCATGTAGGAGAATAGTTTAACTGATTGCCAAAGTATTTGAAAGCAAGTTCCTGAACCTTTCAAAGTCAGCACAAGAATTTGATGCTTTTAAATTAAGACTTTTTTTGGAGTAATATGAACCACTTCATCATTTACAATGTCTACATTATCTTGCACTTTTCAGCAGTGCATTCATTGATGCACGTTCATCTTCTTAATCTTTTTTTGTGTGTGTAATGCGCACTAATGCATCATGAATAATAAGTCTGAGATAGTAAATGGGATCAATCTTGGTTTCACCTTGACTTTTGAACAATACAGCTTTCTCTTATTTGTGCTGAATTAATGTTCTGTGTAACGTTTCTTTGCAAAGTGTACTAACCAGTTACCATAAAGATCAGCACTTAGTGGAAATGCAGAAAAAGCTGGTGCTGGATGATATTAGGATTGGCATAACTATATAGAGGTGAATGACTTGTCTTAAACCTTTCACTTTATCACTCTCCAATCAAATTTATGCAATGAGATTGCATTATACCGGGCTAATGCTTAACCCAGAGAAGACACACAGCCTGAATCCCGTCAGACACATGCTTCTGTTGCAAAATTATGATTGCATGAGTGCAACAAATATAAGTAGACATTTAATTGATCACAATTGAAGTATTTTAAATGCTAGATACAAAATAACAGTATTAACCAGGAAAAAGTACTTAATGAATGATTTTCAACTTTTAATGAAATAAATTTGGACTCTTATTTTGAAATGTCTATGTTTAACTGTTACTGGCTGCTCATTCAAAACGATGAGGCAGATAAAATATGCACTCACACAACTCACACTGTCGCATATTACAATATTAACACCTAGTTATTATAATTCATCAACAGTAGGTGAATAAAGTAGAATAAATTTAAAGTGTTAATTGATTGTGAACGGCTCTGAATGTGTGAACCTTCTCTTTGAAATGTGCTGCACATTTATTTCTTTAATGAAATCATCTTCTTTTAAAGTTTAATAAACATTAGGCTGTATTGCCATACCTGTTCTTACATCCCCAAATTAGGACCGCTTGAAATTATAATAAGATACTTTATGACCTGCGACTGAAATGCTAGCACTCTCAAAACCTGTTTGTGAGTGTTTTATTAAGACAATGCTCAGAGCAGATACTATTTTAATTATTTTACTTGATTATTACTTTGAGTAGGGCATTGGGATGGTGTGTTGTACTGAATCAGCGAAGCCGATTTCAGGGCACAGACTAACTGTTGTGTGGTGCTCTAGGCCTGAACTGTTTGCCAGTGATGTCTTTTTTTTTTGGATGTGGAGATCATGCATTGTGTTTGAGACAATTACTCGCCTTTTTAGGGCTTGTTTATCTGCCTCAAACCCAAATCAGGGGCTATTGTGCGATGAGAAACAGGCGCCCTCGTATTGGTTAGATGAATGTATGATAAGTCAGGTAAAAACAAACCTCTTCTTGGTTTTGTTGTGGTGATCTGACTGATGTCGCTTAATGGCTGTTTCTGGATTGTGTCGTGTTCTGTTCTATTGAATCGCCTGTTTGTTTTTGTTCTGAGAACTGTCGGCCTGGCCTCTGTAGAGCTCAAAAGTGAGTGCCTGCTTTTCCTGGCCTGGTTTCAGGAAGTATTAATACATTTCTTGTTCATTTACATTCACATTTTGCAGATGCATTCATCAAAAGCTGTTCACTTCCTTTATGTTTAATGTTTAAAAGACTATTCACTTACCCACCTTTTCTTATTTGAATAAAGCATGCTCTTTAAAAAGGGAAAGCTCTAGATTACAGAAAAGGTGTGGCAAAAATAATAAACAATAAAACTACATAGATATATTCATGTAGATCATAAACTAATAAAAATGACAAACACAAAACAAAATGACTAAAGCTTTAAAAAAAAATAAAAAATAAAATAAAATCATTAATATATAATATCTTAAAAACATTAAAAGCATTATAAGTTTAAAATATTAACAACGACTAAAATAATATATTAATAATACTAACATTAGCATGACAATAATCTGACCCTTCTGATGTAAGTGATGTAGACAATTCAAGCAAATACAAACCATCTGCAAAAAAACATCTATCGTGATGCTTAAAAAAATGCCTGAATGTAAAAAAAAACAAAACAATAAAAATATTGGCTGATGTACTAATATCATGCATTGAAAGATTTCAACTTTATTATGGCTCAAAATCAATAAATGGAAAACTCCATTTATTGATACAGGATTTTTTTAATAGTTATAAATGTACTGATTGTACCTGAACCATTCCTGTTCAGCAGATTAAAAGAAGCATTAGCACCCCCTTGTGTCCAAAATCTTTCCAAAATCTACCAAGTCTAACTTTGTTTTCAAATATTTTTGTCAATTTTCAGTACAAATTATATAAAATAATTTATGTATAGGCCTATGTGTATGTCTCAAGTGACAATTATTTTAGCCTATACCACATTTATATACCAGCCTGCCTTCTTGTTATTGATATGGCCATTTTGTTTTGACAAATGTATGGTATCAGTCACTCGTTTTTAGTTGTGGATATGCATCTTTATTAAAATGTCTTGTCAGTATTGTATGGTTTTGTTAATTATGGCTTTAATCCACAAGGCAGTGACAGGAGTCTCTTTAATCTTCTGTGTGTCAAAGATCTCCTCACTGTTTTCATTAAATGCGTTATAGCTCAATCTAGATAAAGAGACATCTTAACCCCACAGCCAAAAGCTGAGAGGATTCTCAGAGTTTGAGGACTGATGTCCTGTACTTGTCCTTGTGTGGGAGCTTAATTCTCCATGACGTCAAAGGAAACATTTCTCTTTGTGAACAGTGTGTCACTGAGATTTGCTGTCAGGGGTCCATTTGAGACCCATATCTACAGTACACATGGGTATAACACAGGCATCAGATGCCCTCCTGCTGTGGTGCATGCACACACAGCTTCTTAAGTGTTCAAGTGATCGTGCATGGCTTTATTTAAGAGGTTGATCCTAAGTTTGTGTTGTATGTTCTAAATGCTGCTGTTCTCTCTCTAGGCATGTGGTCCCATACTATGACAGTGCAGGACTACCAAGATCTCATCGACAGAGGCTGGAGAAGGTGCCGATCTTATTATTGTCTGACCTTTGAACTGCGTGTTTCAAAATATAGTCTCCTGACTTTAAATCATGTGCTGCATAAATAGGTTTTCTTGCATAATGTCTTAGCAGGAAACACTATTACACATGAACAGGATGCAGTAGTCTGGTCAGTGTAATGAGCTTAACACAGTGACCGAATCAGACATACTCCCTGAGCTGTCTCACAGACCTCTTACAACCAGACAAATGGGTTTTTGTGCACTTGTTGACAGGCACACTGCCTGAAACCATCATTTTAGACCATTTTTCTGGACTTGATGTGATCCATTTGAGTGTATATTCAGCGCAAAAAAAAAAAAAAGTGTACATTTTCAAAAAAAGCTTTAAATGACAATTTATATAAAATATTTTCAGTTTAAATGAATGACCATTTATTATAACAATTTGAATGTGTAGTTAGTAGTGAGCCCTGCATAAATTGCCATTAATCATTTATGATAATCATTGGTTTGTGTGTGCCTAAATTTTAATTATATCATATTTAAATTAAATTGATCTCTCCTTTTTTTTTTTTTTTTTAGAAGTGGCAAATATGTTTACAAACCTATTATGAATAAGACATGCTGCCCACAGTACACCATCAGGTAAATGAATCAAATGTTTTTTTTGACTATATACAGTAGGATACTCTGAGGTATAATAAAATTAATATCTGATAGTTAAATGTATTGTTAAATTTTTAAATGTATACATTGCAGCTCAGAAATGCTAATGAACAGTTTGCAACATGTCAAATATGTTACGCGTCCTTTTCACTCTCTTTATATATTACTGTGCTGCTGTACTTGTTTTATGAAGGTGCCATGCTTTGAACTTCCATCCATCGAAGACTCACAAAAAGACCTTGAAGAAAGTGAATAGGTTCCTCTCCAAAGGAGAGATGCCAGTAGAGAAGCATGATGAGGGTCAACATGAAGGTGAGCACCATTTACTGGGTATCAGGTTGCTGGTGGTGATTTAGGCCCAACATTCACACAGCAATGCCAAGATGTTGGATGTTTATTTTGTCCGTGTTTCGTAAACTAATTTGACAAATCTCTTCATTACTTTCTAACATTGACAGAAAATAGCATAAAATGTGTGACTTGCATGCCTTCCACAAACCGAAGAGGCTTTATTGTTTACTTTTGAGCTTGAGCTGACCAATAAATTACAGCTTTTAGTGATATTCAGTATTTATCTTAAGTTATGAATTGGAATGATGGTTTATTTGTCCAATAGAGGATTCAAAATGTCAGCATTGAAAGCAGATTCAAAATGAACACTGGAATATTTAATCATTTTCATTGACTGTATATGCACAAGTATAACAATGTAGCCTATATAACAATAAATACAGGTTCATCTCAATAAATTAGAATGTCGTGGAAAAGTTCATTTATTTCAGTAATTCAACTCAAATTGTGAAACTCGTGTATTAAATAAATTCAATGCACACAGACTGAAGTAGTTTAAGTCTTTGGTTCTTTTAATTGGGATGATTTTGGCTCACATTTCTTGGAGAGAGCTTTACCGAGCTGACTGCTGTAACAGAACGCGAGCAGGGTTTAAAGGCAGAACGAATGACTGACAGCCACAGCGGAGAAAAGAGTTTGTGTGAACTTTAATGTAAGCACTTAAATATTCATATGTAGCTCACATTAAGCTATCGTATGGCTTCAGAAGTAACACAGAATAATTCGCATAATCGAGAAAAAACAAAAAAAATCTCGGATTTGGATCGGCTCTCTCTGACCGATACCTGATCCGAGAAAAATGGCACTATCAGAGCCGATACCCGATATGAATATCGGATCGGCGCATCCCTAATATTTATACTGATGACACAAACAAATCTTTGAATCCCTTTGAAATCAATTCAGTGAAACTGACAGCTTGAATTGATTGAAGGAATCAAACTTACCAACTGGTGAACTCTCCATTAAAATAACTCTTATTTTCACAGTGTCCCTTAATTTAACATTGGCAGCAAATCATATCTGGTTATATATGATTCAGTATATCGCCCAGTCCTAATTGGAGCCAATATAAGAAGAGTTGCATCCCCAAGCCAGTGTTTTCTACAGGTATAGCCTCTGTCTGTTTCTTATATCTTGTGGTCTGATTTGGTTTGCCATCCCAGGTTTGTTAGAAGATATCAAAGGTCGTCTAAAGCCTCTCTCTTCCATACTTCAGAGGACAGTGGCTATAGCTGCAGGAAAAACCCAGTCGTTTTTGTCAGGTGCGCTTTCTGTGCTGTAGGCCAGACATTAACCTGATGCCCTTTCTGTCATCCATGCATCATGTGTTATCTCAGCCATATTTTGCAGTTTTCTTCTCCTTTTGTCTTTTTGTCCATATTTTGTTTTTCCTGTGCATGATTTGTTTGTGCAGTGTTGTGTATGACAATTTTGGTTGGGTTTTAAGATGTAAAACTGTCCTTGCAACTAGAGTCTCTTCCTCATCAAGACCTATTTCATACCATTTAGACATACAAATTTAAAACTTGTGTGAGTATGTAAATGCAACCGATTGAGTGCGAGTTGAGTGATTCCCTTGTGAATATGGTTATCTTAAATGTGCAAGTGTTGATTTTTTTAGGAGAGCCCATGGACTCTGTGCATGAAGAGGGTGTTCAACCACCTCCTCAAGACCCTCTGAAAATAGACCACAGTGAAGTACTGGACATCAGTACCAGTCCAGACACAGACACCACCAACTCAACTGCACCAACAACGCCCAGAGACGACGCAGAGAAAACCACTAATGTTACACCCAAACCAGGTCAGTCTCACAGAATCTGCATCTTTAGCATTTATACTTGAACTCTCATGAGCTTCAAGTACAAATAATGTACTGTTGTTTGTTCGTTGTGAGTTTGGATCGTGAGTCATTGGAGTGATTGACTAATAACTAACACAGTATGCTTGAAACTGTTTTTTTTTTTACCAATTTATTAAAAGTAATTAGTTCGTCAAGGTAGATGTCAATCATTCTACACTGGAAAGGCATAGCTGTTGTGGACAACCAGTGGTCCTCACAACAGAAAGATGTGTTGTCTCGTTAGTGTATATTGTTTTGCAGTTCCCATTATGTCTTTCTCATCACGTCATCAGTTCAGACTGCAAACTCAAATTCCTGCATGCTAAAGGTCTATGGCCTTTGTGTTGCAGAATCAGTTGCAGCAATGGAAATATTGTCAGAAAATTGTAGTACATTAAACTGTACATTGATTCAGAGGCTTAAAAACAATTAAAGCAGTAGTTCTCAGTCTTTTTGACTCTAAGGCCCCTCATTGTCCACAACAATATTTGAAGACCCAATGACTTCGTGTTGTGTTATTTTACTGGTCTGACTAAAATGCCAATTTTAATGCTTGTTTTGTGTTTTTAAATGAAGTCGTTTTGATGCCTCGCTGGAAGTTTGCTAAGGTGCCTAGGTGTGCACCGGCTCCCTGTTTGAGAACCACTGCTTTAAGAAAACCTAATGTTATTAAAATCATCTGGGTCTTAAAACAGAACCAGTTCCGAATAAGAACCAGTTGTCAATTCCTAACCGGACTGTTAACCAGAAGATGTTCCTCTAAGGAACACTAGAGGGCAGCAGTGGTTCAGAAATAAATGTGACATCTCCTTTGGGCATATTGTTTTTTTTTTTTTTCAGTGTTCCTGAAAATATCACTTTTCATGTCTAACAAATTTCACCTCTTATTGAAATGAAATTTCAATAGAAAATGTGTTCGGCTATATCGGTGATATCTGCTGTGAGTCAACACTTTGCTTTCCTTTATATAAGCGCTTAATATATTCCCTGTAGACATTTCTGAATATGAGTTATAGACAAATTAAAAGTCCCATACATCTACAGGCCCCTGGAATGAGCACCCCCACAGAACGGTCCGGAAATGGGAAGGATTTATAGAGCTTCCCAAAAGGAGGAGAAAACTCTCGCTCTCTCCATCTCCAAACGGAAACCACCTGGTGACAAATTTATCGCAGCTTGCTTTATGACCATCTTTACGTCTGAGTTATGTCTGTTGTTAGCGTTGACGCAGACGGAGCTAAAAGACTGATTCCACACAGGAGGTTAACACTCTGGTTATAAACAACAGAATCTGTGAATGGTTTCTCTGGACATTTGAGCTGAATGGAGCGAGCACATGCGAACAGGCTTAGACCTTCACTCGTAATTCAAGTTAATGAGAAACAAAGAAAGAACAATTAAAAGTAGATTTTTTTTATGACCCTGTCAAAATCTGGAAACTGTATTAAGTGGTTGCTTAGGTGTTTTCAGCAGTTGATAGCTGGTTGCTAGAGTGTTTTAGGTGATTGTTGTGGTGGTTGCTTAGGTCTTCAGAGGGTCTTAGTAATAGAAGTGAATAGTAATAATAGCACAAGACACGTGATTTGAGGAATCATTTATATGCTATTGTTCAAAAGTTTGGGTCTGTACGATTTTTTAAATGTTTTTGAATCTCTTTTACATTCACCAAGGCTGCATTTATTTGATCAAAAATACAGTAAAATAATAATATTGTGAAATATACAATTTAAAAGAACTGTTTTCTATTTAAATGTTTTCAATTATAATTTATTCCTGTGATGCAAAGCTGAATTTTCAGCATCATTACTCCAGTCTTCAGTGTCACATGATCCTTCAGAAATCATTCTAATATGCCGATTTGCTGCTGAACAAACATTACTTATTATTATCAATGTTGAAAATAGTCATGGTGCTGCTTTTTTTTTTGTTGATGAATTGACATAAAAATAACTAACTTTTGATCAATTTAATTCATCCAAACTTCTTATAAATAAATACACAAATCTTTAAAACCCCAAACATTTGTATCTGTATCACAAGTTATGTACGTTGTCTTTTTGGATGAAAGAATAAGTATTTCAGTGAGCAGCATTATGCAAAGAAACCGAAACAATAGTAGGGCTGTTAGTGAATACATTGAATTATGTTAAAAATGTTTAATTTGACTGTCAACGTTGGTTGTAATGATTGCAGTGTCAAAAGGCCAATCATTTGTTCAATTGATTTAGTTTTCATGCATTCATGAAATCTGTTCATGGACTCAACGTGAGACCACAAAATAGTCTTCTTTTTAGCGTTTATTTTATATTAATCACCAATAGGATAAAACACTGCCGCCTGTGTTTTATAGCCTAAAATAAACGCTAAAAAGAAGGGGACGGTTTTGCAATCTGTCCCCTCAGTTTATAAACCGTACTCACGAATTCGTAAACTGTTCCCTCGGTTTAACAAATCATGCCCACGGATTAATAAACTGTACCCACGAATTTCCAATCCGTGCGCTCAGATTTTGTAAACCGTACCTTCGACTTTTGATTCCGTACCCACAAATTCATAATCCGTGTGCACGCTTCCGCAATCCGTTCCCTCGGGTTTGTAAACTGTACTCACGGATTCATGCAGTAAGCGCCTAGGTAGCCTACATGTTAACAAATCATACTGTATATTGTTTTATTGCATATTATTATGTGAAATAGGCCTACAGTAAATAGTCTTAAGTGATTCTCTATCAATTGTAACGGTACGAGGTGGAATACAACGATTTAATAAGAAAGATGTGCATCAAAATCTTTGTGATAATCTTAGCACTAGATTATTATTGTATAATAAACCTGGCATTGTGACTGACTTTGGAGTCATTTGTTCCTCTTTTGTAAGTCGTTTTGGATAAAACCTTCTTCTAAATGCATATGTAGCCTAACCTAAGTGTATAATAATAATAGCTATTATTATTATTATTATTTTAATTTATAGGCTAAATAAATGAGTACACTTAAGACAGTAAAATGTTTGTCATAAAATAATTCATGAATGCTTTATTTTTAAATAAGCTTTTACAGTTTTGGAGCTGTGTTTGTGTACTATTCATTCTTAACATATTTCATTCATTCATTCACAGACTTATTTAGGTGATTTTATTATACTAAGCTTTTCCCCCCAGAGTTAGATGCATGCTTCACTGTTAAAGTTATTATTAAATAACTAGGCCTATTATAACATTGCATTCAGTTAGAGAGCAAAGGAATGACAACATAACCGGTACATTATTGGTTTTGTATTGCTTTTTACCTTCTTCTCTCGAAACTCTATCGTTTTATTTTTTTGAAAATTCAGGAAATGTTCTATTCTTCTTTTTAGCGTTTATTTTAGGCTATAAAACACAGGCGGTGGTGTTTTAATATAAAATAAACGCTAAAAAGAAGACTATTTTGTGAGTGCGGATCATGGTCTCATAGGCTACTATGAAAAATAATGTTTAATAAACACAATACTATGCATCCCGCACCGTGGTTGAATCTGCCGGTGGGGGAGGGGCCACAAATCCATGAGTTTACAAACCCGAGGGAACGGATTGCAAAAGCGTGCGCACTGATTATGAATTTGTGTACGGATTCAAAAGTCGAAGGTACGGTTTACAAAATCTGAGCGCACGGATTGGAAATTCGTGGGTACAGTTTATTAATCCGTGGGCACGATTTGTTAAACCGAGGGAACAGTTTACGAATTCGTGAGTACGGTTTATAAACTGAGGAGACGGATTGTTTTTTTTTTTCTCCTACAGGTGACTTCCCGGGCTCCGTATGAAACGGGACATTCAACAATAAAAAAAAAAAAAGGCTGAGAAATGGGAATTGATGGATCTGGATTGTAAAAAGTTAAAGAAAGAGATTGAAACATAATGCGCACATACATTTTTAAAGAGTATAATAATCTTGATAAAACTTGCATAAGGCCCTATGAAATCCGTTTTATTTTTTTTTCCAAATTCCGTTTTATTTTTTTTCCAAATTCCGTTTTTTCCATTTGAATTTTTCTGGATTATGTTTTTTTCCGTTTGAATTTTTCTCGACTCCTTTTTAATAGTTAAATTACGTTTTATTAATCAAAAAGCATGTCTAATTAATTAAAATCATGGAACTTATACATTTTCACATCAATTTATTAAAACTATTAAAATTAAAACATGGAAGAAATGTTGTGTGATTATTCCTTAAAAAATAATGTTTGTTTCATTTTAGTAGTAGTAGTAGGCTATGTAGCTACATTTTACTGAAAAATAGTAATAGGCACAGTCTTCAAATCAAACCGGACTTTTATTTTGACGGGTTGCTGTGAATACCTTTACTGTTCTGTGTATGAGATATGACTCTAGTTTTACTCAAATCAAATGGTCAAATGCTCATGAAGTGACTCTCAGAGCAGTTCTGGAGATGTTGTTCATGTGTTTACGTCCTCATTTAGTGAGACGGCAGACACTGAAATCACCGCGAGCGTCACGCGCGCTTCAGCATGTGTGTAGTAAATGAAACCGCGCGTCTGCGCCATTCATTAACAGAGACACGCAGAACATGCAGGATTCATATTTAAATCGACTTTTGCGGCTTAATATTTACAAATACTAGTCCATATCGCGATTTGATTTAAGTGTAATGACTTACTTTTGATTAATGCATTCAAAATTTGACAAATTCCGTGACATTCCGCGTTAAACTCTGAATTCCGTTTTTATGGCTGGATTCCGCGTTTTCTGCATCGCGGAAATCATAGGGCCCTACTTGCACTAAAAGGATTGTGTATTGCAAAAGTAGATTTTGATTTCTTGTTGACTGAGTGCTTCAGCCTTGTGTGTTTACTGTGCCAGTAAAGGCTGGTCCAGGTAGTAAAAGTCTTTCTCTTCTCCACGCCCCACTATTCCTCTTTCCATATGTTTTCCTCTCATAAAGGAGTGTGCCAGCTCTAAT